AACCGTATCTGTTGCTGGTTCCCAGCTGGAAATATATATACCTACCAGGCTCCTCTGGGTGGAGCAGAGAGCATCTCCACTGTTGAGGATGACTGCCACTGTAAGCCTTTTTTTTTTTCTCCCTGAGATAGGGTCTTGCTCTGTCACCCAGATTGGAGTGCAGGCACATGATCATAAGCTCACTGCAGCTTCGAATTCCTGGGCTCAAGCAATCCTCCCACCCTCAGCCTCTAGGGCTAGGGCTAAGGTCGTGGGCCACCAGGCCCAGCTTAGTTACTTACTTATTTATTTGTTTAGAGACAGGGTCTCACCCAAGCTGGAGTGCAGTGGCATGATCACGGCTCACAGCAACCTCTACTTCCCAGGCTAAAGAAATCCTCCCACCTCAGCTGGGACCACAGGCATGTATCACCACACCCAGCCAATTTTTTGTACTTTTTGTAGAGACAGGGGGCCCAGGTTGCCCAGGCTGGTCTCAAACTCCTGAGCCCAAGAGATCTGCCTGCCTCAGCCTCCCAAAGTACTGGGGTGACAGGCATGAGCCACTATGCCTGACAATCTTTTAAACAGTTTTTGTACAGACAGGGTTTCACCATGTTGCCCAGGCTGGTCTAGAACTCCTGCACTCAAGAGATTCATCCTCCTTGGACTCCTAAAGTGCTAGGATTACAGGAGTGAGCCATCACAGTCCAGCTGCCTTTTTTACTTTTGGGAGGGCATCCTATCTATCCTCTAGATGTTGAGATTAAAACAAAACAAAAACAAACCAAAAAAACCATCCTGCTGTTATATAGATGACAGTTAATGGGCTCATGGGCGGACAACTCCAAAAACTACTCACAGGGAAGATAATGTAGCTGTGAGTTCAGTCACACTATTTGAGAAGGTGTTCATCTCTCACTCTTAAATGTAAAGCTCAGTGCTAAACAGGTAGGCTCAAAGCCCTGTTACATCCCTTGGCCTTCCCCCTAGTACCACCACCAAATTTCTAATTTCTATACATGCTATGTGCTTCAACTGTAAAGTTTTCTTCTACAAACTCAGATACCTCTTGGCAGGTTAACACTGTTCAGCATACCACTCTGGACAACCACAGCCTCTGCACACTCACTACTTCTTTTTTTTTTTTTTTGAGATGGAGTCTCACTCTGTCGCCCAGGCTGGAGTGCAGTGGCACCATCTCGGCTCACTGCAACCACCACCTCCAGGGTTCAAGCAGTTCTCCTGCCTCAGTCTCTCAAATAGCTGGGGTTACAGCCATGCGCCACTGTGTGTGGCTAATTTTTGTATTTTTAGTAGAAATAGGGTTTCGCCATGTTGGCCAGGCTGGTTTCAACCTCAAGTGATCCACCCCCCTCCGCCTCCCAAATGGCTGGGATTACAGGAGTAAGCCACCACACCCGGCCCACTGCTTTCAAAATAACTATATTTACAAGGGTATTTCCCCCATTTGCATTTCCCACACATAGGTTTTGAGAAGAGAACAAGAATGCCGTTTACCACATTTTACCTGTCCTTTTTTCCCCTTTCGAACAAACTGGTCTAGGGGCCAAGCACAGAGGCTCAAGTCTGTAATCCCAGCACTTTGGGAGGCCAAGGGGGGCACATCACTGAAGGTCAGGAGTTTGAGACTAGCCTGGCCAACATGGTGAAACCCGGTCTCTACTAAAAATACAAAAATCAGCCAGGCGTGGTGGTGCATGCCTGTAATCCCAGCTCCTCGGGAGGCTAAGGCAGAAGAATCACTTGGACCCGGGAGGCAGAGGGTGCAGTGAGCCAAGATCGCGCCACTGCACTCCAGCCAGGGAAACAGAGTGAGACACCATCTCAAAAACAAACAAACAAACAAACCGATCTATATCAGTGCAAAGTTTTGCTATGTTGAATCACTGGGTAGCAGAAAACATTTCACAAATGAGATAAATAAGGCTTAAAGAGTGAAAACAAACTACCTAGGGTAACCCAACCAAGGAGTAAAGAACTGTGACTTGAACCCTGATTCTCTGCCAGCAAGCCCAATGAGAAAGGCTTACAACTAGTGGTAGGAAGGATGATTTTCAGTGGTTCACAACACAAATATGAAAAACAGAAAGGGTATGCAAGTGACTCAAGTTCGGAAAACTGCACCACGCCCCTCTGCTATTCTCACTGAAAGATGAAATTAATAGTAAGCAGGGCATTAAGCACTGATCTCTTCCTAATTCAGATACTTCATTTTTCTTGTCTTCTTTGATTAGCTCCTCCAATAGAATGCTGAATAGAGCCGTAACTGATAATAGCTTTATCTTTTTTTTTGAGACTAAGTCTCTCTCTGTCACCCAGGCTGGAGTGCAGTGGCTTGATCTCGGCTCACTCCAACCTTTGCCTTCCAGATTCCAGCGATTCTCATGCCTCAGCCTCCTGAGTAGCTGGGCCCACCACCACGCCCGCCTAATTTTTCCATTTTTAGTAGAGATAGGGTTTCACCCTGTTGGTCAGGCTGGTCTCAAACTCCTGGCCTCAAGTGATCTCCCCATCTCAGCCTCCCAAAATGCTACAGGTGTGAGCCACCTCGCCCGGCCCGATAGTAGCTTTATCTTATTCTAAGTTTAACACTGTTCTAAAGTTTCACCATTGAGTATCATGTTGTACAGATTATTCATGATGTACTTTTTTTTAGTTTATGGAAATTCCTTCTTATTCCTCAGTAAAAATTTTTTTTTTTTTTTGAGACAGAGTCTCACTGTGTCCCCCAGGCTGCAGTGCAGTGGCGCGATCTCGGCTCACTGCAGGCTCTGCCTCCAACGCTCACGCCATTCTCGTGCCTCAACCTCCCTAGTAGCTGGCATTACAGGCGCCCGCCACCAAGCTCGGCTCATTTTTTTGTATTTTTAGTAGAAACGGGGTTTCACCGTGTTACCCAGCATGGTCTCGATCTCCTGACCTTGTGATCCGCCTGCCTCGGCCTCCCAAAGTGCTGGGATTACAGGCGTGAGCCACCGCGCCCAGCCCTCAGTAAAATTTTTTAAACTCATCTCTGGTCCACTCATTTCCCTTCTCAATGCTGCTTCCCACCCACCACCCTTCCTTTCTTTTTTTTTTTTTTTTGAGATGGAGTATTGCTCTGTTGCCCAGGCTGGAGTGCAGTGGCGCAATCTCAGCTCACCACAACCTCTGCCTCCCGGGTTCAAGCAATTCTCCTGCCTCAGCCTCCCCAGTAGCTGGGACTACAGGCACCCGCCACCACGCCCAGCTAATTTCTGTATTTTTAGTAGAGATGGGGTTTCACCATGTTGGCCAGGATGGTCTCGATCTCCTGACCTCGTGATCTGCCCGCCTCAGCCTCCCAAAGTGCTGGGATTACAGGCGTGAGCCACTGCACCCAGCCTCCTTCCTTTCTTATATTTCAGGTTCCTTCCTACATTCTATGCACCTCAAAGTACTGTATCTGCCACTCAAAGTAACCGAAACTCTGATATTTTGGGGGTTCTATACCTGTCTGCTGTTTCAGTTCCCTGGACCAAAAAAAAAAAAAAAAAAAATCGAAAATTGACAATTGAAAGAAAATCCTAAGGCAAACTTTGTTTCAATCATTACTGAAGACTGCAGAAGTAACTGCAGATTATTTCTTCTCTCCATTTCTTTTGTTTGAGACAGGGTCTTGTTCTGTCTCCAAGGCTGGAGTGCAGTGGTGCGACGTGGGCTCACTGCAGCCTCGGCCTCCCAGGCTCAAGCGACTCTCCCACCGCAGCCTTCCAGAGTAGTACAGGCGAGCAACATCGCTCCCAGCTAATTTTTGTATTTTTTTGTAGAGACGGGGTTTCGCCATCTTGTTCAGGCTGGACTCGAACTTTTGAACTCAAGTAATCCTCCCACCTCGGCCTCCGAAAGTGCTGCGATTGCAGGCGTGAGCCACCGTGCCCTGCCCTTCTCCATCTCTTAAACACACCCTGAAATGTCCTTTCTTTAAAGTAAAAACTCGGGCGGAAAAAAGGACCCAATAGTTCTAGATGACCATTTACTTTCCAGTATGTTGCCTAGCTCTGAATGAGCCTGGCTTTTTAAGTCGCTGGAAGAATCTCAAAGTGTTTTTTTAAGTTTTGAAGGAAGGAGCTGGATCCAGATGTTTATAACTTCGACTCTCTTTGGCTAAAATGAAAAGTATTAAAGAGAAAAGGAAAGGAAGAGGGGTAGTATGTGTAAGCAAATAAGTTCCAGGACATGAAAGCTGAAGACACAAGAAGGGAAAACCAACCCTTTAAAGCCCAAGCAAGTTAAGAATTCTCTCCCTCAATTTCTTTCTAAACAAAAGGGCACACACAATCCTTCCCGAAGCAGCAACGCCGGGGGGAGAAGCCAAAATTGTTGCATCATACAGAACACTCCGCGCTTGAGAAACGAGAATGCCAATAAATGCCCAAGACAGAAAAACACAAGTTAGGAATCTCGGTCTTTTCCGAAGGTCCAAGAGCACCTGCTCGTTAGAAAATTTGTTTAAGATTGCATCGAAAATTAAAGTTTCCGTTTCAGATCAGTGGGGAGCAAATGTTTTTTCAAAAAAGCGTTCAAAGAAGTTCGTTTGAAAGCTCATCGGGCGGCCGACTGCAGGTCGGGCTCCGGGCGGCGGCGGAGCCGAGCGCTGGGGAGCGGGTGGGGCCGGGCCCCCGCGCCCGGGCGGGGGTGGTGACAGGACCCGCGCGCGCCCGGTGCTGGGGCCCCAGGGCAGGCAAGTCCCGCCCGCGGGCTCTTCCCGACCCACCCCGGCGCGGGACGCTGGTCCGGCGTCCGCCAGAGCCCGCGCGGTTGGAGACGGTGGCCGCCGCCCGGGTCCCCACCCCGGACCCCTCGACGGGCCCTCGGAGGCGGGAAGGCGCTGGCGGCCCCCAGACAATGGGCGGGGACGCGGGAGCCCGCAGCGGGACGGGTGCTGGCGCCGAGCGGGGGCGCCTCGGGACGCCTCTCCCCGCAGCCAGGAGGGCGCCGGGGGCTCGGCCGTGCGGGACCGCGAGGCGAGCGCTCACCTTGACGAAGAGCTCGATGAGGGGCTCTTTGTCCTCCTCCTTCAGCCCATTCAGCGGCATCGACAACGCCATGGTCGGCTCGGCTAGGCTCCGCCAACAGCGACGACTGCTGCTGCTGCTTGCTCCGGGACTGCTCCGGCTGCCGGCTCCCGCCGCGCTGCTCGCTGGACTGTCCGGCGTCGAGCTGGCCACAGCGGTAGCTTCGGCTCCTCCGCACCGCCCCACGCCCCGCGCGCGACTCTGAAGCAGCCGCAGCCCAAGCCGCTTCAAACGGCGGGGCGGGGCGGGGCGCCGGGGGCGGGGCCTCAGGCTGTAGGCGGGGCCAAGGCGCGGCGCCTTGGGACTCAGGGGAAAATAAGGCGGCAGGAGCACGGGGGCGTGGCCTCGGGCGGGGAAGGCGGTGGGACCGCTCCGGAGCCGACGAAAGGACCACTGAGACGCCTCGAAGCTGGTAGGAGGCGTGGCCTGTGCGGAGGGCGGGGCTTTGGTGGGCGGTACAAAGCGCAGGCTCGGGCGGGCGGGACCCGGGTACGTTTCTCGAGAGGGCCGGTGGGCGGGGGGACGCGGGGGGGCTGGGGGGGAGGAATTCCCCAGGGGCCCGAGCCTGACACTGCCTCCCGCCGCAGCGCCTGCGCGTCCTCTGCAGCTGCTACTGGTGCTGTGCCAGGTGACCTCATCCCTCGGCCGGCCTGGGGAAGCGAGGAGGCGCCTCCCACCCACTCCCCCGCTGCGGCACCCCAGGACTCATCGCCCTTTCCCGCAGCGGCCACCTCCCCAACTCCCTCTATTACGCCGAGTTGCCTTTTCCAAGACAACTTACCGGAAAGTTTTCATCGCCTGGGGAACACCTTTTTTTTCTGCCTCTGACTTCGTTTTTGCCTTTGACGCTCCTGATCGTTTCGATCTTGGCAGCCGGCGTATTCACAAATATTTATGAAACCTTACTGTGTTTCTGGCTCTGAGCTACCCCTTGGAGAGTAACAATTCCCAGAGCTCACGATCTTGAACTGCAATTTCGGTGCCTGCAGGCCACTAAGGACCCCCAAGTCGTTGTCCATCTTGTTCCGCACTGCCCACACCCATTTCTTCCCCCTGCTCACCTGGCAAATTTGAGTGTGCATCAGAATCACCTGGGTGCTACACGCAGCCCCGCTTTATGTGTTTCCCAGATCCTCTGGGAAAAAGAGAAATCCACATCTTAGCAAGCACCAGCACAATTCTGAAGTAGGTGGTCCACAAACCAGTTAAACTGCGCTGGGATTTAAGCCCCCGAGGGCAAGAGCTGTGCTTGCCTAGAGATTGTAGGCACCTGGTCCCGGTTTGCTGCCTTTGAGTGCCTAGGGCAAATTTCACCTCCTCTGGAAGCAATTACTTGTGCCCTTTTCTGATTTTCCATAATACTTGACTCACAGCTACTCCTCCCAACTTCCCAGGTTGGGCTAAATAGTGAGTTCCAGGAGGCCCAGACATGGGAGGTTTGTTTCCATATCCTCGGTGCCTAGCACATATCAGAATGTTTGAACAAATTGTATGTAGGCATGAAAACACAGTGAAACTTGCAACTTCTTCTTCTGCCACCCCAAAGCAAGTTGTTCAGATTTTCTCATAGAGGTTCCGTGAAAGAGCCAGTGCATCCCAGTGGTCAAGAACACATGCTCTAGAGTCTGACTATTTAAGTTCAAATCCGACAAGGCAATGTCCTTAAAACCCCTAAGCCTCAGTTTCATTATCTAGAAGTGGGCGGGGCTAATTACTGATTCTTGCCTTACCATATGTTCTGCTGGGTCAGTATGGCTGTTACCTGCATTGAGACTTATTCTCTCCCTACCACCCCTGCAGGCTAGAATGTGGCATCATATTCTACTCTCTCTATGCCCGGCTAGTTCATTGAAAATAAATAAAAAATAAATTCCAGAGGCTCCCCTTAGATGGGGGCTTGAACCATGAAAATCCTGAAGTGACTGACTGGACTCTGGACTGAACCCAGTGTTAATTTTCATAGAATCATGAACTGAAGCAAAGTTTCCATCCAGAATCCACCCTGTCTGCCCTACCAAAAAGTAACCAAATGGTGAATCAGCTCAAAGCAGATCTAAGCCAAAAAACAATTCAGCAGAAACTCAATGTGCCTGAGAATTGATCAAACTGAGGCCCGGCACAGTGGCTCATGCCTGTAATCCCAACACTTTGGGAGACCGAGGCGAGTGGATCACCTGAGGTCAGGAGTTCGAGACCAGCCTGGCCAGCATGGCGAAACCCCGTCTTTACTAAAAATACAAAAATTAGCTGGACGTGGTGGCACGTGCCAGTAATCCTAGCTACTCAGGAGGCTGAGGCAGGAGAATCGCTTGAACTGGGGAGGAGACGGTTGATGTGAGCTGAGACCATGCCACTGTATTCCAGCCTGGGCGACAGAGTGAGATCAGTCTCAAAAAAAAAAAAAAATTGAGTTAGAGGCAGCAAATATTCCCGGTGGTGAGTTGCCTGTCACAGGCTCCAACTGGCTTCACAGCACCAGGGTATGGAAGGAGGAGCAGACCAGAGTCCTTTAGGCTTCATTGACTAAACACAGATCTTAGCTGGGAGGAAGCCAGTGACATTCTCCTCCACAGAGCCCTGAAGTGATGATGATCTCCTGGGCTCCTCCTACCCAACAGAAAGCCCCCCAGGAAGAGGCTCAGACCCAGAGCCTGTGCGTAGAAACCTAGTCACAGTCACACCTACAGTTTCCCAAGTTCCGCCCTCATGTGGCTCCCATGGATGGGCAGAGTCAGTCCTGGGAGTGGGTGAAAGGGAAAGAGGATGTTTATGCAGGGGAGGCACCCTAAGCACATTGCTGTCAAGTCTCCTCTTCCAATTTTGAAATGCATGCCTGTTTTACATTCTTTACTCAGGCTTGTTTTTATGGCACACAGAAATCTTGAAGATGGGTGGAGACATGTTGTCTCCTCCCACACACCCCTCTGACCTCATCTCCTACCATTCTCCCCTTTGCTCTCCACCCCAGTTGCACTGGCCTCCTTTCTAGTCCTTGAATATGCCAAGCACACTGTGGCCTCAGGGCCTTTGCACTTGCTCTTCCCTCTCTCTGGAATAGTCTTCGCCCAGAATTTCTGCAACTTCCACTCCCTTACTTCCTTTGGCTCTTTGCTCAAATGTCATCTATGTCATTGTCTCAGAGAGCTCTCCCCAAATACTATTCTATGCAACGTTGCAAGTTGCTATCTTTCACTCCACCTTCCACTTTATCTCTGTTCATAACACTTATAACCCTCTGATATATATCTACCTATTTATCTGCTTATTGTCTCTCTTTCCCCGCTAGAACATAAATGCCATAAGGGCAGGGATTTTTGGTTTTCTTTATGGCTATATTCCTGGCTCAGAAGACAGATCATGGTACATAATAAAAACTTATGGAATGGCTCCGTCTCAAAAAAAAAAAAAAAAAAAAACTTATGGAATGGGCTGGGTGCGGTGACTCACACCTATAATCTCAGCACTTTGGGAGGCCAAGGTGGGTGGATCACCTGAGGTCAGGAGTTTGAGACCAGCCTGACCAACATGGAGAAACCCCATCTCCACTAAAAATACAAAATTAGCCAGGCGTGGTGGTGCATGCCTGTAATCCTAGCTCTTTGGGAGGCTGAGACAGGAAAATCTCTTGAACCTGGGAGGCGGAGGGTGCAGTAAGCCGAGATCGCGCCATTGCACTCCAGCCTGGGCAACAAGAGCGAAACTCTGTCTCAAAAACAAAAACAAAAACAAAAACAAACTTATGGAGTGAGTGACTGCACGATGTTTATCCTATGGTTTCATGTACCCTTGACGTACCATTTGGACTGTCATGCTCTTCCAGTCTGGGAAGCCAGGTGGTTTGTGTTTATGACTGCCACTTCACAGGGGGTCAGTAAGCCTCCTCCGATGACACACTTTCCTCCTCCCACTTCTGACTCTGTGGTGCTGCTCACTGACTGTCTCAGCCCAGTGTTCTGCAATTTCAGCAGGAGAACGAGCTGCTAGGCACATGGACTCTGGGGCCACACTGCCTGGGGTTCCAATCCTGCCTCTGTTATTTACTAACTCAGGATACTTACTTAACCTCTCTGTGCTTCATTTTTGTCATCAGTAAAAATGGATCTAAATTAGTATCATTTTCTCATCTGTAAACATGGATCTAAAATTAGTACCTATTCATATTTAATAGGCTCATTGATAAATTAGTCTATGTTAAGAGCTTGGATGGTAAGTGCTCTGTAGACACTAGCTGTTGGTATTATTCCCATCTGTCCATATTCTTGACCAGTCACTGAGCTCCCCCACTGCATGCCAGACACCTAGCTGGGCGCGTTCATATCCAATCACATTTATTCATCATGATCTTGCAAAGCTTTTTTTTTTTTTTTTTTTTGCGACAGAGCCTCACTCTGTCACCCAGGTTGGAGTGCAGTGGCACAATCTCGTCTCACTGCAACCTCCACCTCCCAGGTTGAAGAGATTCTCATGTCTCAGGCTCCCAAATAGCTGGGATTACAGGCATGTGCCATCATGCCCGGCTAATTTCTGTATTTTTAGTAGAGATGAGGTTTTGCCATGTTGGCCAGAGTGGTCTCAAATTCCTGACCTTAAGTGATCCACCCACCTCGGCCTCCCAAAGTGCTGGGATTACAGGCATGAGCCACTATGCCCAACATTGCAAGGCATAATTTTCATTGTCCTCATTTTACAAATAAAAAAACTGAGGGCCAGGCACGGTGGCTCATGCCTGCAATCTCAGCACTTAGGGAGGCCGAGGCAGGTGGATCACTTGAGGCCAGGAGCTCAAGACCAACCTGGCCAACATGGTGAAACCCCATCTCTACTAAAAATACAAAACTTAGCTGGACATGGTGGCGCACACATGTAATCCCAGCTACTCCAGAGGCAGAGACACGAGAATCACTTGAACCTGGGAGGTGGAGGCTGCTATGAGCCGAGATCACACCACTGCACTCCAGCCTGGGTGACAGAGCGAGACTGTCTCAACAACAACAACAACTACGAAAACCACCAGGAAACTGAGGATCACAGGACAACTAACCACGAGTCATTCAACTGGGAAGATGGTGGAGCTAGGATTCAAACCACAGCTCTCCAGGAGCCTATGTTCCTCTTCACTACACTGTATACTAAGTGAGCATGGGAAAAGGTAGGCTCCTACCCATTCTTCAAGGCTGAACTCAAATATCCATCTGCCTTAAGAAGCTTCCTTGCACCATGCAGAGGGAGTTAGCCTTCCTTCCTCTTACCAATCTGCAGCATTGGTCTGGATTCTACATCACCTATCAGGGAAGTAAGGGTGGTGTTGCGGTTCTCAATATGAGCTTCCCCTAGCAAACTGCCAGACTCCCAGATTGGGCAAGTTATGATACCTAACCCAAATAAGTTTCCTCTGAAGCACTGGCATTGGCGATATGGTGG